ACGTGAAGGAGGAATTGTTCGTGTATGCATGCTTGTAATGAACATTGCGAACTGATTTTCTACATTATGTATTGGTGGACTCTCTCACTACAACGAAATCCAATAGACCAGAAAATAATTCGTTGTAAAGAGTATTCTGCTGTTGGGAACCATACTGGACCAAAAAAATTAGGCGTGCAGAGAAAATCATTGTGGAGATGAGTCCACTTGTATCTTTTCAACTATTTAATGGACATTTTCAGCGTGTATCGACGATTTCATAATTGTTTTACGAACTATTTTTTCGAGATGGATTTTCTATAGTTCTACTTTTTGTTGGATGAGCTCTCTCCACTATATTAAAAGGAAACTTGAAATGCCATTTTCTGATTTGTTGTTCATTTGGTATTAAAGTACTGTATATATTTATTTTTGAAGATTTTAAACCGGTAGTCGTCGATGATAGTACAGTAGCACATATGATTTTCGTCGATCCGGATCGATCATTTTTTAATTGCACATTATTCACGCTGGGCTTCTAGTGAACACTGCATTTACTCAAATATTATGAGACGATACATATTTGTGTGCTCCGATTCGTTTTCAAAAGTTATGTTGAGGATGAAAAGCTCATCTGATGATGGGAAAATTGAGCTCTACAGTATCTTTTACAATTTTCCAAGTCAAAATTGTTGAAAAGTTATAGAGGTATGAAGGGTGTTTTAATGGATGACGTCTTATATTCGAGTAAAGACGTTTCTATGCTTGTTGAGTTCGATCGAGTAACAATTCTTCTAAAAACGAGCGATTGAAGTAGACTCCAATCACTCCATTATTCGTTTTCTGTTAGATTTAATTTTTGATGTGCGGTCGCTTTTACTCGTTCGTAAAATTTCTGGATTTTGGGTATTCATGTTGGTCCGCGAAGAAGTTTTCTTAATTTTATTCGTGAGAAGTGATATTCTGGCAGCATCAGCAACTGCTCTCTATACATCGGGATTTTTCCGTCTTAGACTTCTTGGATTGAAAGATGTATCGAGGTACATTTTGAAAGGCGATTTTTTTTTTATCATTTTTAGTATGTGGAGGAGAATTTTACTCGGAAACGGGAATGATCCGGTCTCCAGGGTACCCCTACGGTTATCCCCACAACAGGGAATGTGTCTGGACTATCGTCGCACCCCCGGGGCGTCAGGTTTACCTCAACTTCACGGATTTCGAGATAGAAGCGCATCAGAATTGCGAATACGACTTCTTGGAGATCAGGAATGGCGGAACTGTGTATTCGCCGCTTATTGGCAAATTTTGTGGCACTCAGCTTGCGAATCAGCGCATTCCTGGACACTCGAACAAATTTTACTTGAGACTGAAAACGGACGATTCGCAGTCGGGACCCGGATTTTTTATAACTTGGAATGCTGTTGCAACTGGTGAGGCAACATGGGAAATATTCTGTGTATCTATATTTTTCTTTCTTTTTATGTGGGACAAATGTGTTGAATTGCGAAAAGAGTTAGATAAACATATTTCCTGTGACCTGATTACCTGAATGAAATTGGCGATAACGTTTTCAATTAGTATGCTGTACTTGCCTGTCATCAATCATTCAAAAGTATGGGGGGGGGGG